AAGCACATTTCCGTATCCCAAATTAGTTTATCCTGGTGGAGTTGTTTATCAGTGCCTGTTGCTTTTTTGTTTGTGCAGTTCGCGTGCATATTTGAGCGAGAAGGAGATAAAGCGGACTTCACGATAGTTGAACCGTCTGTCAATCAACTGACTAACCGTACTCTGATCATTCGTACAGTGCGTGTCATTCTTAGCGAGCTTCTGATACTGTGCGAACTACCATGAAGCCCTGCCAAGTTGACCACTACTTACCCATCTCCCAGCATTCGTGCGCACGAACCCTGTGTAACTGTTGAACGCTTTTTCAGTACAAATAGATAAGACGGGAACTGCGATCCGCATCTAAGCGACAGGATGCCTCGTTCGCCCTGAGAGTTCTGCCAGAAAAATCGTGAAGTCATTCATAGAGTTTATTTTTTCCTTCGTTGTGTTTGTATAATTAAAAGACAAATTGGAATGGGGAAGTCATAAACATATGTACGCATGTCTACTGCAATGAAGGACGCTTTTGTAGTCAGTACAGTAAAAAAGTGAAACCAAGGCAAGATTACAAATGACAGTGAACAGCTTCGAAACCAAAGCGTGAGAGGCGCTAATTCAGTCACTGAGGCAGGCTAACACGATGAGCCATTCACGCCATTGATGTAGACTGGGTTCGTGCCTGTGAATGGCTATGACGTCCGAATACTTGAGAAGTTTGCCATCTGTCGTTTTTCAAATGACCCGGGGTGATTGGGTTGAGCTAACAGTTCTTCTGCATACAATTCTAGTTCACTTGAAAATCTGAATCTTTTCTGCCCATTCTTTGCAACGTAGTTGTTCCTTCCTTTCCTAAGTCAGATCTTGATGTGATCAACTGTTCGGTGATGTAATGATCTCACTATTCCACCTATGCGGATCACAGTTAATCCATGTCTAAATAGGCAAACAATTGAATTTCCCGAAGGGAAATGTGCTTTCTACCGTGGGTTTGTTGGCATTTGGATGATATTGAAGACAGTGACCGAAGTGGCTACATTGTACACGCGTTCGGCAGCACAATCCAGGCTTTTGCTAACTACCCGACTCGCGTTTGTGTGACTGTTTCAAAATATATTATTATTTCGGTCTAGTTGATGAACCTCTAATATTTGATTTCATTTTTGAATACTTTCGGTTTTGAAATGTTTTCTACATTGTGCGAAAATGAGAATGCACTTTTCAAAGGACTTCCGTGTTGCTGGTCCTCAAATAAGGATCGAATCAAGACCGTCTCGGTAGCTTATTTGATAACGACGCGTTTCTGAATCAGCAGGAATACGTTGTGAATGATGGGCGTATTTCATTACTTTTGAATGAATATCGTTCAAAAGCCAGGAAAATAGGAAAAACTTTCCCAGTTGATTATCATACCATGCTCATTCTTCATCCTTTATGATACCCTTCTGTCGACAACTGTGCACATATGACCAACCCATGACGTATAATCCTGATTGTGTATTGCAATCAGCTTTGTTTTTACTCTGAACCACTGTACCAACAACAGGTGCGAAACCTCCCGCCCAATCGTACCCTACAGGAGATAATTGAATAAAATTGTGCAATGCGCTTCCATCGTTTGGTCCATTTCCGATCGATTTGATACGCAGTTGCATGCGAGTCTGTCCGCATTTGTTTGTGCTTCCAGTGAACACTCGCCTGCATTTTATTTTCACACACTTAACATACTTGTGTCTGATGTCCAACCTAGTTGTCGGCCATAATGCCAGGGTTGCACAAACCCCGCCCCTGATCCACACCGGGCAAATCAGTGAGGACATGGTGCATGGTGCGCATTAAAATCTCTCGTTGGTTTTCGACAAAATCATGCATCTTTTTCGACCTACGAATAATGAGCATCCTTATCTGAGTGGGTGGTATTCCTTGAAAACGAAATTCACGTAATTCGGATCTTGCACTCTTGGAACTGATCCTCCTGAAACATTCCAAACACCTTGTGTTTGCAAAGGACGTACAATGTAATACGTTTCTCTTTCTCGTTTACAATCACGTGATTGGTTGTTCATCAGAGACTTTCCGATTGTCTTATTTCCCCCGGTGTTTGTCTGAATCTTGTTTTCTGCCATTCCGAATATCATGGGATCACTCTTTTTCCCGTGTTTGTTTTTCTCCAGGAGAACGGCACTCTATTCGAGCAGGCTTGCAACGATGCCATCCAACTGAACGAGAAGGAAGTCGGTTTGGATTGGATTTGTCTCCCCGAGCCGACCACATCTCCTTCGAAGTTGACCACTGAGACAGAGGATGTGGCCTCACCCCTAGTCGAGACCGGTTCGGAACAAGTCCGTCCGAAACCAGAGTCTGGTTTGCTGTCCAGAGCCAAACTACTCGAGGTATGGTCTGATCGTTAGCGTTTGATCAAAGCCAGTGTCTTTTCCCCTATCTGAAACAAGCTACATCCCACCCCGTCATCACTTGCTTTTCAAATACCACCGTGTATCTAGCGCAAAATAACAGAACTCATAACGTTTCGAATTACAACTACTATAATTTACACTTGTCTGAACCCCAACTGGGACAAATCAGTCCATTAATTATTCTTGAGCGCGATACTGCCACTTGACCCTAATTGAAACGGCTGATCTTCATAGGGATTCACAATCTTACCTTTCAGCTAACCGAAGGTTAACCTGCAGGTCAGTTGGGCGCTATCTGGAAACCAGAAATCATTGAGGGCGACCATTTAGTCAGTCAGATTTTACGTCCTTGCGATGTAGTTCACACATCCAGCTGATGATCTTCACTAGTGATTTGATCAAAGAGTAAAACTTGTATCATAGAGACTAAAGAAAAAGGCAGTTGAAATGTTTGAACGTTCCATACCTGTTCAAAATTGTTGAGTATGAATTCAGTGGTCACATTAGGAATCGAACCCAGGACTGGATCAATACTGCTAAGCTTAGACAGACGACAGTTCCTATTTGAAATCGGATACTGACACCCCACCCCTTGACTATCACAGAGGTCATTGGGATGGTGTGAATAAATACCTACTACTGGGGACGTTCGGGCTTCTTGCTCACATCATTCGTCGAACGGCGTCGCTTTCAGAATTTCACGTCTTAAGTCTGCCTCGTTAAAATTTGTGCTTCCTCAATAATTGCTCAACTGACTCGTCGTACGGAAAAACAACATGAAACTGAGGCATATTGTGCAAGACCAACAGTCGTTTGAACTAAACTGAAAACCACGCTAACATCCCCATCAAATATAGATACTGCTGTTCTGTCTTCACGTCCGCATTCTGCACTCTTTTTGATTGTGACTAGTTTTTTTCGTAGAGCTAATTAGAATGTGCAACACATAACTAAATAAATAATACCGTTGTACATGTATACAGTTGAACGGTGGCTAGGAAATGTGTTTCACTAATTTCATGACGATTCCTATTGAAACGTTTGCTCCCATCCAGGTTTTCAATGAGATTCAGTCAAGTGCAAACAACAGACTAACAGACGACAATCGCGAACTGTACATAGATGATGATGACGATGACGAGAACTCTGAGGAAGAAGAGGATATGGACGCGGTCTTGGTGAGCAGTCCACGTCAACCTCAGCCCAAGTCCGTGATGCACGACGAGAACCTAGCCGAGACTCACCTGATCCTGAATGGGTTTGATCAGGCGTTGCGATTGAAAAATTTGCCCACTTTGGCCGAGACTGAAGTGGACGGTGAAGAAAATGAGATCGGGGATGATGGCTTGGACGAGAGTGATACACGGAACGGATCCGAATCCATGCCCAAGAGTCGTGATGGTATGTTTTTGGTTGTAGCGTCTTTTGATGTTTATGTCTTTAGCCTGGACGACCGTAGTGTTAACACTTGTAGCTGATCTAACCAATTGCACGTATTTGTCGCGTGCTTATCCAATCTTTCTCAGATTACGATGTCTCGAACACGTATTCAGTAAGCCTTCGGAACACATAACCAGTATCGGTTGTTTTCAAAATTGCACTTCACTGTTTCTTTCTGTACAAACTACGCACTACAGGGTGCCGTTTTTTAGTCGATACATTAGGTCTAGCCTTGAAGAAAGAAGGTAACAAGTTAAATCTATCAATCTGTTCACTGATACGATTAAATCAATCTTTAACTTTTGCTGTCCAGTGAAAATCTTGTTTGTCTGTAACGGTAGAATCACCTCGCCCTTTTTGAAATCACTGAGAGGGTACAAATAAATGGCCTACAAATCTCGTCTTGCCTCACTTGTAAAGCACTATTCTAAGTTAATCAAGTCCGAGATAACGTACCTCAATGCAATCTTCGCCGCCCAAATTCTGCGAACAAAGAATACCAGGCTCTTATGGCAAGGTATTCGCCTTCTCTGTGGGCAGAACAGAAAACATTCTAATACCTCTGTGGATGTCAACAGCCTCAACGCCGCTTTCATCCACCCGTCAAACGAGAGCCAGATTCCCTCATTCCTATGCAATTTAGTGCCTTTTTCCAATGATTTAATCTTTAAGCTTCTTCGATCCTGCAAAGCATCCTCAGCTGCAGGCCCTGATGGTCTTCCTCCGGCACTTCTGAAATTTGGAGCAGCTACCCTAACCAATATGATGACATCCATTGTCAGTGAGTCCCTACCTTCCCGGTCGATTCCTCATTCTTGGTGTCCAGTGACCATTATTCCGATCCCCAAATCCACGTCCTCAACTGTTCTTGCGAAACGGTTTCGTCCTATCGCGTTGACCTCAGCGGCTCTAAAGGTAACTGAAAAAGCCATCCTGAGTCGGTTGCAGTCAGACACCACAATTCCCCATGACCCCCTTCAGTTTGCATATAAACCAAACAGGTCTACATTGGACGCCGTATCCACTCTAGTGCATTTTGTCTGCAAGTCATTGAACCATTCGGTCAAGTCTGTCCGTTGTGTTTTTCTTGACTATTCGTCCGCGTTTGATTCTGTTTCCCGATCATCCCTTCTTTTCAAACTTGAATCTTTTGGCACTCCAAAACAGCTGCTCTCATGGCTTGCCGACTATTTTACACAGAGGGTCCAGTGCACCAAATTAGGAAGGAAGACATCAAAACCTCTTGTTAATAATTCTGG